GAATGTTTCCTGGTATCACTCTAAATAATTCAGTCTAGCATTTATTAATTATGGGTGTTTCTATGCTCAAAAATATGATAATTCCTTCTGTGAATAGTGGCGACTCTCCACAGATCTGAACTGTAATGTAGCCCAGTGATGTAACCTGCTGGTCACGCTCATGATATGTAGGTTTGATCTATACTGTGGAACATTCGACGGAAAGCGATAACATTTCCATGAAGACCAATGCATCTTTAAACCCTGCACATAACCAGGCTGCTCTTCTATATCTGCTTTAACCTTGTTCTTCACACTGGCCACGGCAGCAGCTTGACCCCGGCGTGACCTCTGTGTGGCTCCTCTTGGGCTCATAAGCAGCACAAGGATGTGGGAGCTTAACATAAAAGCGGCCGTTACCCGCTGCACTGTGAGCACCCCGGGTCAAACCAAAACGTATGACTTTGACTCTGGCCATAATCACTCACATTTTGAGCCTCTGACAGGAGCTGCAGAGGAGGAGAGGGGACGGAAATAGCTACAGAGAAAACAGCGCTAGACTGGTCACTGTAAGGTCAGTTTTACTCCGTGCTTTAACTCTGGCGGTTAAACTGGGACCAGTGGTGGAAGAAGTACTCAATTTTTGTTACTTAAGTAAAAGTACAGATACTGGAGCAAAAAAAATACTCAAATAAAAGTAAAAGTATCACATGAAAAATCTACTTAAGTAAAAATAATAAAGTACCTGTTTAAAAATTGTACTTAAAGAGTAAAAAGTAAAAGTATTTCATGCAGATTTTGAGGTCTACTAAAGCTTCAAGCTGTTTTTCTTTCTTTCTATGAGCTATGAACATGTTAAAAATAAACCCTCTTATCTTATCTCAAACAATAATAATAACCTTTTACTTTTCAGTCCTGTTAAAAATGTAGTGGAATAGAAAGTGTATATGCCTGCTCTAAAATATAATGGAGTAATTGTAAAAAGTAGTCACTTTAAATTGTACTTAAGTAAAGTACATATACCTAAAATGTATACTTAATTACAGTACTGTATTACTTTTACTTCATTATGTTCTACAATTTCCAGGGAGTAAGCAGCTGACACACAGAGACCCAAAACACTGTGTCAGATATACTGTGGACAAGATGGTGGACAGCCAAACCAGGCCGGGCAAATGTAACTTTTAAAAACAAACATCCATTTTATTTCAAGCTGATTAGAAGTGACGTCTTGGCTCCCTCTCTGGCAGCTGCCTTGTGTAATTAAGAAAGTAGTAAAGCAGGTATTTATGTGTCTGGCTGTGTCTTATCCTCTGCATCTTGATGAGGCCACGGTAAAGTTGATTAAGAAATGGTTTTCTTGAGAAATTCATATTCTTTAGCCTTTTGTCACCATTGGGTTTTGCCTTCTGGGGTAGAAAAGCAGGAGCTACAGCGATTCATTTTCTGAACTGGTTTTACATCAAATGTCCTTCAGATCCCGTCAGATCTCAGACGCTAAGCAAGGCCGGGCCTGGTTAGTACTTGGATGGAGACCGCTGGGAATCCCAGGTGCCACAGTGGGGCGCCAGTCACAAAAAAAAAAAAAAAACTGTCTTCATGTCCTTAGGCAAGTCACTTCACCCACATTGCCTAGTATGAAAGTGTTGTGTGTGTGAGAAATGGTGATGGTCGGAGGGACCGATGGCACCGATTGGCAGCCGCTCCTGCCAGTCTGCCCCGGGCAACTGTGGCTACAGTAGTAGTTTACCACCACTGGGTATGGAGTGAATGAATAATGCTCTGTAAAGCATCTTTGTGACATATGTTTGTGAAAAGCGCTATATAAATAAAAACTTACTTTATTTATTTATTTTTTTATAAAGACTTGGGGTTTGCACAAATTCTACTTCCTGATTGATGGTTTACATACCATTTACCCATAAAATGTGAGACTGTGAGACTCTTTCAACACTTAGGTTAAAGGCACAGTATGTAAATTAAAATAAAGCTTGTTTTTATTTTGATTGTTTTTATTGCATTGAAAAATGTCTCCTTACAAATCTAACTCTTATTTGGCCTCAGTGAAGGCCTCCTCATGTTTGTCTCCATGGAAATGTTTTTCCTTTGGCTTTAATCTTCCACAGTGTGGCATAAACTCATCTCCATGAAGAATGCTTCTAAGTATGGCTTAAACTTCATAATTCCAATCATGCAGGTGACGTGCCACCTCCAGAAAGTTACATACCCTATAATTTCCCATGCTTTTTAGAACATCACACTGACTTAAATTCATCTCCTGAAGACTTATGCTAAGATTAAACATTATAATGACTTGCCTAACCTTAACCTATACTAACCTCATACTTCACCTTAACATATACTAACTTTAATTACTATATCTTCATCTTGAACAATGTTGTTGATTGAATATAAAAGGATTTACATCATAGGGACCCTTTTCTTTTTGGAAAGCATGTCCCAAAACAGTGTACTATATAGAAATGTCAGTCCCCACAACATGATAAATAACACCCACCCACACACCACATCAAACTTGGTATCAAGAGACTCAACCCAGAACTAAACCTGGAGCTCCAAACCACGTCTACTCTACACTTACACAGGACTTACTTATGATCAAAGAACGACTAAAAGAGTGAATGCAAGCTAAGTGGACTTACGCAATGAACAGAGCTTCTAACGTGATGGAGAAGTGACAAAGGAGTCGCCTTGGGGAAAGAACTAAACATAGCAGAATATGTCATTTCTTTGTGATGACATTTCAATGGTGAACAATGAGTCACTAGTATCAGTGGAGTGTGTTTTTAGTCCAACTTTGCCAGTATAGTATTATCACTTTTGCGCAGTAGTTGCAGTGAGTAAACTTGTGTGACCTCTGGGTGCCTCCTCACCATCTGTGCGTTGTATATGTCAAAGTAAAGGAGAATAAACAAGCTAGAATGGTTCCTTTTTCATAGTCGCTCCATGGTAAATGTCACTACCAAACTACTGCCGGATTGGTACATCTGAAGTCCAGATTTTATCACATCTCCAAAATACACAGTGTCCCAAAGCAGTCCGTATGAAACCCTATGCCCTTTCATGTTTATCTGCCCGGCTCCTGCGCTGTCTCTGTTTACTCACGTTTGCTGATGATACAGATATGAGTCTGCAGTCTGCACCCGACACGAGATACCTGAACTGTGTTTGAATTTATGTAAATATCACCCTTAAAACAGCACTGCTTTAAATAAATGTGGTGTATTTGTAGTGATGCCACAAAACTAAAATGTTATTCCATCGTTAAGGGGGGATTTTATGCTCAGAAATACTGTGTATGTAGGAAAAAATGCATTCTTATTGTGAGCTGGGTCGCTTCTCCACAGATCTAACCTATAACAGGGGCTGATAGGCGGTACCTGCTTTTCTCCAAACAGACAGAATACAAAGGTTTAATGCCAAATCATGGAACATTCCCAGCAAAGTGAGCATATCGCCATGGGGACAAATATGTGGCATAGCTCCACCGAGAAAGTTACCTATTGCACTTTTAATTTAGTGGGACAGTTTTTGAGAATCCAATATATCAGCTATTGATACTTTGCAGCTCATGTCATCAATATTCCCTGGGGGTGTGACGCTAACTGGAGGTACTGCTCTGTCTGAGGCTCTGTCACTCAAGTTACACTTTAATCTTTTTTATACTAAAATGTGAAACTCAATTTAGATACTAAGCAATAGGCTCAAAGCTCTACCAATTTCAGTACCACAATAACAAAAAAAAAAAACAAAACAAAAAAACCCACTAATAGACTGGCATTTTCAACACAAAAATATATCTATTACTTAATTAATCAATATAATACTTCAATTTCTGATTTGATTATGTTAGGCTGACATGAAAAAGCAGACAGGATCACCTGAGACCTGAAGAATGTTTTTTTTTTTTTTTTTTACCTATCCTATCAAAAAGGCAAATAAAAAATAAGCATCTTATTTTGCGCACATTGAGTTAGAATAAAGTGTAATCGATTTAAATTTCTTTCTCTATTTAGCCATGTGAAGGTTATATTATAATATTAAAGAAACAGTTCGTAATTTTGGACATAGGGCCTCATCTCCTAGTTAGCCAGAGTGGGACACTTTTTTTAAATATTCCATCCATATATTCCATTGTATTTGCAGAGGTCGCTGGTGCTAGGCTATTGCATGTCAATAGCCATAGTTATCTTGCCACTAAAAACAGTCTTACCCACTTCACAAAACACCCAAGGCAAATCTATTATTATGCCAGACTGTCGATGTAAATGTCTGTGCTGATAGAATAATTTGAGAAGTAAAAACAACCTTGCGTTTGAAGGATTTATGTTTGAGCAGCAGCAGTGAGTTGTACTTCCTGATAGAAAGCTTGGCAGCGGCGGACTGATATATGAGAAAATAGTCCCTCAACATGCGACGATTCATGCGATGCAAGTTTAGTTTTATTTCAAACAGTCAGTTACTTCAACAGTCTGGCAGTCTGGGTGTTTTGTGGAGTGGGTAAGACTGTTTTCAGTGGCAGACTAACTATGGCCATTGACATGCACTAGCCTAGCACCATTGACCTCTGCAAATACAAGGACTGGATGAAATATTTTAAAAAGTGTCTCCACACGTCTCCAACACTCTGGCTCACTAGAAAATGAGGCCCTATGTCCAAAATTCAGGACTGTCCCTTTAATAGCATGAAGCTATTAATTCATAAAATAAAAATAAAAGCTAAAAAATCTGTTTACATTAGGTCAAACATTTCCTGAAATACAGATTTTAATTGAGTCAAGCCTGGGCTTCCAGACAGGCCAATGACTCCTCACCTTTAGACCAAGTCCACTCCACCGACTGCTGTGGTTTTGTCAATATTGACGACAGTTGACATTTCAGAAATACTCAAAGGTCAAGTTCTTCTTCCTGGATACGATCGTAACCAAGGCAAAGTTCAACCATGTTCAAATTTCCACACAATAATAAAGAGTCTGAGGCTGGTTTTATTTGTATATGGATCAATTTATTCATTCTGTTAGGGCACATGTTTGTCCCATAGTCTTACACAAAGCAGTCGCTGTGAGATGTCCCATTTGTTTTGACCAGAAAACACTAAAATAAAATAATAAAATAAAAATACAATATGCAATCATGACAGACACACATTCAAAAACACTGTATGCAAATTATTCTCATTTAAGGCCAATTATTTCATTTACCAAATCATTTCACATGTACCACTTGCAAATTTTCACTTATAAAATTACTGGTACCTTTGGATAACTAAAGTAATTGGGCTGCAGGTAGTGTACAAAAATAACAGCATTTAGTATTATTCAGAGGACTTTTTAGTAGACATTTTGAGGAGTGTGGATGCGAGCATGCACATTGACACAGGCACTGATCTTGACTTGGTTGTGTCATGTTCTAGGTCCTCAAAGCATTCTGGGAAATGTAGGCGTCTGTGAACTCCCTCAAACAAGGCAGTCAATAGCGTTTGTTCATTTAATCTGTGAATGCCAAACCATACAGGCTGACCGTTTGGGATGCAATGTTGAAATGTATGAATGTATGAACCAAAAATTAATTAACTAACAAAAACAAATATCTTAACACACAAAAATAGTGGCTTTACTCCAAGACTTTTCCTTCACGATACATTACTCTCAATACAGGCTGACCCTACTGTAATATTCAAGGCCCAGAGGAGCTCAGCAAGCCAGTGCCGAGGATTCTGGGTAACGTAGTAAATCCAGAAATCACAAGAAGCTCAGTTGCTCCTTTTTACAAACAAAGAAAAAAGTATACAAATAAAAAATAACAACAACACCAAAAAACGGCAAAACCAAGCACAAACTCGTATGATTCATAATTAAGGCGAGTTAAAATATTGCAGAATAATTTGGCCCCTGTATCACCAACAGACTGCCACAACAGTCACAGCTCCCTGACTCTTAATCACTGTAAGGATCCAGAGGAGGGACAAAAAGTTAATGTCAATAAAATAAGGATTAAAACCATAAAAATGTGATCCTCTTTGGAGAGAAAGTCGATTTTTTTTGGTTTGTTCGGCCTCTTCCTCAGTTATTTTAAAGGGACAATGAGGACCTTATTTTAAAAAAGTCAAATTAAAAACATTGGGGTCCGTAAAATACAAAATAGTTTTTTTTTTGTTTTGTTTTTTTAAATCAACGACCTGATAGAGTGATGCCATTGCAGATAATGGGAAGAGTGTGTGTCCCCCTGAAAATCTGATTAAGAGCAAGTTGGGCGTAAAATGAAACCAAAATATTAAAATAATTAAAAATAATGAGGAAGGGGATGTAGGAAGTCAAGTTTCCGAGTTACAAAGTGATGCGGACCCCCTTAGTTTTTCTTTGCGGGGGTCTTTTTAGGCAAATATTCCGAGCGCTTTCCCTGTTGTTCAAAAGGCCAGGATTCAGCGCAGTCCGTCAACCTGAACTCACCCGATTCTACAAAAAGAGGACACGCGGTCACTTCAGCACCGTCCATTTTCAAGTCCTCCTCTTTTCGTCTCAAGAGTAGAAAACACCACCGTCCTCCGAGTGGCGCTGTCTTTTTTACCCCTTCGCAATTTGTCCTTTTTGTCCCAGGTCAGACCCACTCCTGCATGGAGCGTTTGCAGTACAGTATGTGTCTCGGCGTGCCCTTGCGTTTGAAGTGGACCACAGTATAAACCAGGACGAGTAGACACAGCGCCAGGACACATGGGATGATGATAGCGATGGCCTTGACCGTGCTAGCTTCGTTCTCCAGTTCGATTATGACATCCGAGTTGCCGTCATCGTTGGGTTGGCGGTTGGGGTCGATGGGCATCAGTTCGCAGCCCATAAAGTCTTTGAGGATGGAGCGGGGGTATCCTGGTTCAACCCGGAGAAAATGGTTGTTGAATTTCCAATACTCCTTGCCTTTGTAGAAGTATGTGAAACCTGCAAAAGAAAATAGAAAAAGTGTAAGTACAAAATGGGGAAAAGAATACACAGAATTAGGGATGTAACAATAATTGAAATATCGCGATATCGTATCGTCAAAGTTCTCACAATAATAGCGTGGACCATCACAATATATCGAATTACAAGTCTCTTTGCTTAAATTAAGAGTTATGGTGCAGCAATAGCTAAAAAAAAAGACAGAGGGAACTACATAGACCATGATCCTTTGCTCCATTTCAGTGCAGACTACAAGAAGAAATAACAGTTCTAAGCCTTATTTCTTTGGATTGTCTTGTCAAGGCATTTTAAGAGGAAAAAGAAGAATATTAACAGTTTTGTTAACCTCCACAAACCGTGAGGTTCATACTGTGACGATATCGTATCGTGAGACTTGGGTATCGTTACACCCCTACACAGAATACAATAATTCTGTGGTACAACTGAATATAGAAACATTGTAGTTGATATTTAATACCACTTTAGTAATTTCCCATAAAACACATAAAAATAAAATTAACAAAAGGCTAATCCAAATAGAAAATCACAAAAAATATGTACTCCAATACACTTTTTTCCTTCGGGTCCCAGGAGGATATATCACTGTTTGAAAATCAGTTCAAAATAAAATCTTTACTTTTAGTTCTGTTACATAAATATGAATAGTTTGCTATAGTTTGCATTATACAATTCTGTCTGATGAATATGCCTAGACAATGGGACCAATCATTCACAAACAGGTGAAAACACTGTACCATACCAATTAGAGTGAAAACAAAAAAAATAAAAAAATTTCCTTTTCAAGTTTCAGAAAAATACCATCTCATTCTTTACAGTGGTATAAATACAGTAGCTACGTGCTTTCTACTTGGAGAGGGTTTGTTTTGGTTCTTGCAGTTGCAGGCAGTGGGTCAAGTGGGTCAAAAACAGTTTGCAAGCCATTACTGTTGTTTCTCCACTTAGCATGAGGTTTTATTGCTTTAAGATACATTTAACTATTCACCGGGGTTAATTATTGAATCCTATGTGTGCCAGTGGTCTTCAGGTAATCGCAAGAGTAAAGATACAAGCTGCTATAATCTCATCAGATAGACTTAAAGGTCCTATAATATGCTATTTTCTGATGTATGTTATAATGTTTCCTCATCATAAATATACTTGAAGTTGTGTTTTGTTTCTTGTTTAACACACATGTTTAACACACAAAAACACCCTGTGCCAATTTATAATTTCAATCCAGGTAGTGGACCACAATCTGTGTATTACTCATTCATTCATTGGTTTTTTTAAATTAAAACCAAAAATAAGAGAACAAAAAAAATATTATTTCCTTCATTATAATCTCCAAAACCAAAATGGAAAAAAAGGATAATGATTAGTTATTTCAGTTTTCGATTTTGTGTTTAAATTAACAATGGAAAAAAAATGTCTGTTTCCCGTTTCCAGGACTGAACCAGGACTAAACCAGGTCTAAACCAGGTCTAAACCGGTTGCAGTCCTGATCTCAGTCCTGGTCTTGTCCTGGTCTAGTCCCGGTTTCAGTCCTGAGCCTGGTCCCGGTCTCAGTCCTGGTTTGGTCCTAATCCTGGTCCTGGTCTGGTCCCAGTCTCAAAAACCAGGACTAAACCAGGACTGCCCCAGGAGTAAACCAGGACTGAAACAGGAGTGTCGGAAACGGAAAACGACCATTATCTGTTTTTTCCATTATTCATTTAAACACAAAAATTGGAAACTGGAAAAAAAAAAAAAAAAAAATTGCTGTTTTTTGTTTTCTTATTTTTGGTTTTATTTTGAAAAAACGAATGAACGAATGATACACGGATTCACCACTGTGCTCTTAAACTCTCTACACCTTCACTAGAATCATTTAGATAACTTCAGCCCTGGAATTGCCAATCTCTACTGAACTAAAGAAAAAAGGTAGCTTCATCATGACTCAAGGTAACATGCAGTTAATCAGCCTCTCAAATAGTGTGACCTCCTTTAGAGAACTATGGGAGCTACTATCCCTATAGAGGCCACTTAAAGAGACACAGAAAGCTGCTAATATTAGCCTAAAATGTTAAAAGCGGGTACCAGTACTGCACTTTGAATGTGCTGAGTAAACTGCACACGGCTTACAGACCTATTACACACTTTGTTTTGCACTATTTATTATTCATGCCTTCTCTGGCCATGAAAACGAGAGAGGAAATACCCTGAATATCAAGTGAGGAGTGAGGAGCTGAGTGGATACAGTGGACACAATGGTTTCTTCATATTATAGATAAAAGTACTGCAAAAATAAGAAGGACTTTCTGAGGGACCCATAGAAGAATAAGGATTAATATGTCAAGGCAGTACTGCAGGGTAAAGTGGCCCCGAGCTCATTTATTTGGATTAGTCTTTTCTACTCTCCAGTGTGAATAAGTCATACAGAGATTTATAATTGCTTTTAGTATGGTGAGGTCTGTGCCAAAGTGGAGCTCAGAGCCTGATTAAAATCCATATATTTAACACCATCTTATATCATTACCACATATCTTATATCATCTTAGAAGTACTGCTGTAAGTTCTAGTATAGTTGTACTAGAAGTTGTTACGTAGTAGCAGCAGCAGAAGTAAAAGTAAAAAGTAAAAAGCAGTTAAGTAATAGTAGTAGTAGTAGTAGTAGTAGTAGTAGTAGTAGTAGTAGTAGTAGTAGTAGGACTTGTTCTGATATTAGTAGAAGTAGCAGCGGCAGTAGTAAAAGTAAAAAGCAGTTATGTAGTAGTAGTAGTCGTAGTCATAGTAGTAGTGGTGGTAGTAGCAGTGGCAGCAGCAGTAGCAGTAGTAGTAGTAGTAGTAGTAGTAGTAGTAGTAGTAATAGTACTTAGGACTTGTTCTAGTATTAGTAGAAGTAGCAGCAGCAATAGTAAAAGTAAAGTAAAAAGCAGTTACGTGACAGTAGTAGTAGTCATAGTAGTAGCACAGTAGTAGTAGTAATAGTACTTAGTAGTTGTTCTAGTATTAGTAGAAGTAGCAGTAGTTAAAGTAAAAAGTAAAAAGCAGTTATGTAATTGTAGTAGTATTAGTAGTAGTAGTAGTAGTAATAGTACTTAGGACTTGTTCTAGTATTAGTAGAAGTAGCAGCAGCAGTAGTAAAAGTAAAAAGTAAAAGCAGTTATGTAAGAGTAGTAGCAGCAGCAGTAACAGTAGCACCAGTAGTAGTAGTAATAGTAGTAGTAGTAGTAGTAGTAGTAGTAGTAGTAGTAGTAGTAGTAGTAGTAGTAGTAGTAGTAGTAGTAGTAAGCAGTTGCGTAAAAGTAGTAATAGTCGTTGTTTTTGAAGTAGCCATTGAAAATATGTACCTTAAGTTAAATCTTAGTTCTGATTCACTTGGTAATTTACTCGAGTCCTTGTACTTAAAAGAAACACTACTTTCAATTGCCCAAAATATTGTGTATTAACAGAAAAAAGAAAAGACACTGCATCACTTCATCTAATGGGCAAAGTGAATACACCTGATTGACAGTGAATAATGTCTTTAAAAAAGTAAAGTAAAGTAAACAACCTCCGTGTGTAACCCAGTCCAAGGTCTCATTCATCTGAGCGCATTGATCAGACCAGTTTGTGTTTTAGATTTCAACATTCACAACACAAATGAGCCACAACAGTCATTTTCAAAACCGATAAATCCCAAAAGCACTGGATACACGGATGGGTTCATTAAGCACTATTATACTTCCAAACAGTGTGCACGGTAACGGAGGGAGGGAGGAAAGGACAGAGAGGGAGAGACAGAGAGAAATAGAGTGAAAGAAAGAAGAGAGACATAAAGAGTTGGATGAGAAAAGGAGTGAGAGAGGAAGAGAGAGGCAGAAGAGACAGAGAAAGTAAGCAAGAGAGACAGGGATAGTTAGAGAAAGTGAAGAAAATGAGAGACACAGAGAAAGAGAGAAACAGAGAGAGAGAGAGAGAAAGAGAGAAAGGAGATGGAGGACAGAGGAGAGAGGAGGCAGAGAGACAGAGCAATCGAAGAGAGACATATGAGAAAAGGAGTGAGAGAGGAAGAGGAGTGAGAGAGAAAAAGAGACAGAAGAGACAGAGCAAGTAAGAGAGACGGGGCTAGTTAGAGAAAGAGAGCGAGAGAGAAGTAAGAGAGAGAAAGAAGACAGGAGATCGAGGACAGAGTACAAGAGAGAGAGGAGGTAGAGAGAGAGAAAGAAGAGCGAGAGAAAGAAGAGAGACTTAGAGAGAGGATGAGAAAAGGAGTGAGAGAGAAAAAGAGAGACAGAAGACACAAAGAAAGCAAGTGAGAGAGAGAGGGCGAGAGAGAGAGCAATAGAGCGAGAGAAAGAAGAGAGACAAGAGTAGAGGAGGAAGAGAGGAAGAGGAGTGAGAGAAAAAGAGAGAGACAGAAGAGACAAAAGGCAGGGATAGTAAGAGAAGGTGAAGAAAAAGAGAGAGAGGAAGAGTGAGGAAAGAGAGAAACAGGAGATGGATGACAGAGGAAGAGAGAGAGAGTAAGAGAGCGAGAGAAAGAAGAGTGACAGAGACTTGGATGAGAAAAGGAGTGGAAGAGTAGAGGAGTGAGATAGAAAGAGAGAGACAGAAGAGAAAAAGAAAGCAAGAGAGAGGGATAGTTAGAGAAGGTGAAGAAAAAGAGAGACACAGAGAGAGAGAGAGAGAGAGAGGAAAGAGAGGGAGAGAAAGGAAAGAGAGAGAGGGAGTTGTGAGCAGACTTGGCCTGGAGGGTGACTGCTCGGTCAACACTGCCCCTGGGTCTGTGCCTAATGTAGTGTCATCAGCAGTGTTCTCCATTACAGCTGCTTATGTGGGTCAATGTCACTGTACCACATCCACGACACTTTTACGTTACATACATTTTGTTATCCAACTTTTGTTCTGCACATTTACAAGAGAGAGTCCAAGAACTCCATGTCTATCTCTATTTGAAATAATAATGTATTTTTTATTATTTTCCCTTCACCTAGAAAAACATTGGCAAAGGCCTTTTCAATCTACTGAGCAGCACACAACATAATGCCTACTTATATGGGCAAACTGTCCTTATACTAGAAACTGTCCTTATACTAGAAAATAAATAGACTCTGCTCAAATAAATAGAAAACTTATAAAAGGTATGGCCAGATTTTGGTCTGAAATACTGGCTAGGTCTCGGTTAGGTTTGAACAGGTATAAAATGATTAGTTGTTTTACTGGAATCGTTGGGTGAATATGTCTTGCTTGATGGATTGAGAATTTATCCTTGAACTAGAACAAATCTCCAGGGTTAAAGTTGCACCCTATAACTTTCTGGTCCTCCATCTTTAGATTCAAATGTTCCCCAGTAAAATCCTATATTACATTAACATTATAATGTTGCCTGTTACCTTATAACAACATACGTGGAGTTGTGTTTTGTTTCATTTACAATTTGTGTATTATTCGTTCATTAGTTTTTCAAAATAAAACCAAAAATAAGAAAATGAAAAAACATTATTTGTCTCCAAAAACCAAAATGGAAAAAACGGATAACGATTTGTTTTTTCAGTTTTTGATTTTGTGTTTAAATGAATAATGTAAAAAATGGATAACAGCTGTTTTCCGTTTCCGTGGCTTAAACTACGATGCCGGACTTTTGCACTGTATATGGATTAAACCAGGACTGAACCAGGTCTAAACCAGGTCTAAACCGGTTGCAGTCCTGGTCTCAGTCCCAGTCTGGTCTGGGTCTCAGTCCTGGTCTGGTCTTGATTTGGTCCCGATCTCTGTCCCGTTCTCAGTATCGATCCTGGTCCGGTCTCGGCCTCAGTCCTAAACCAGGACTAAACCAGGACTAAACCAGGATTGAAGCAGGAGTGTCGGAAACGGGAAAACGCTGTTATCCATTTTTTCCATTATTCATTTAAACACAAAATCGAAAACTGAAAAAACAAATCGTTATCTGTTTTTTCATTTTGGTTTTGGAGACAAATAATGAAGTAAATAGTTGTTTTTTTTTTCATTTTTTTCATTTTCTTATTTTTGGTTTTATTTTGAAAAAACGAATACATGAATGATACATGGATTATTTACACATGTTTGAGAAACCATTTATTATTAGTATGTCTACATCTTCAAAGCTCAAAACGCTCTGTTCCATCTTGTGATGTCATGAAGCAGTAGTTTTCAAATTAACAAACCACAACTTCAGGTCAGTTTGTCATGAGAAAACAACATTATAACATTGATCAAAAAATAGTGTAATATGGGTTCTTTAATGTAATGTAATAAAAAACTTGCACAATCTTTCTGTGTGAATATTAAGAGTATCTGACACTCTTGTGATGCCTGTGCACCCTTCACGGTTGGGTTAGCGTGTGCTCCACCTGCCCTGGTCCTGGCACCATGACACAGCGCAGATGGCACCACTGTTCTGTACCACCTGGACAGCTTTTTTCAACCCGAGCTGAACCCTGCCAAGTCACTTTCCCACCTGGCAATAGACACCCAATGGGAACGCTTCTGGGTCCCTGTGTGCTGCCCGATTGGCTGAAGGAGATTCTGTGAGACATATTTGGACCCGCCTCTTTCAATATTTGGCGAGATCTGTCTGGCTTAAACCGGAATAAGCGCACAGTGGTGGTCTTGTTCCTTTTTGCTTTCCACTATCTGCTCCAACTGGGTTCAATGTGAGGCGCAGCAATATGCTCTTTCATTGTGAAATATTTTAACCAGGAAAACACGAGCGGAGCTAATAATAAAAAAAGGTCACGGTTTGATTTAAATCCAGATTAAAGGTGCATTGCTCAACTTTTCTGGAGATGTTATTGCTTTGTCTAGAATGTTCCACAGTAGAGATTCAACCTATGTATCAGGTTTAGGTCAGATTTATGAAGGTGCAACTCTATTCACAGAGAAAATTATTGATTTTTGAGCAATAGAAACACCACTAATTAACAAAATGCTAAACAGATGTGTTTAATGTCATACCTTGGAACATTCCAGGTAAGACAATAACCAAGTAGGTGACAAACCCTCCACCAGAAAAGTTGCACAATACACTTAAAACTGTCTTCAACATTGGCATGCTCAGTAGAATAAAATAACTTGTATTGCAGTTGTTTGCATTATGCCCTATGTAACTTCTCTTGTTGACCTACTTGCCTCTGTTGAGATGCTATTGCTTTGTCAGAAATATTCGACAGTATCTTCCTTCTTATTTATCTCTATGGAAACAAGCTGATGATGCCAGCAGGACATTTTGCAGGTAAGATCTGTGGAGCTGCGACTGCACTCACAGTAAGAATCTATTTGAATGTGTTTTTTATGCAATAAAAACACCTGTAATTGAATAAATGAAAGACATATATATATTTTTAATGTCATACTGTGGTCATCATCTGGTATTGTAGACCTGCAGAGTGCACCTTTAACAACTGCAATCAAACACATTCTGACCTATTTTCACATTTCACCGTGGTAACGCCCATTGCCCTGTTTCCTCCGGTACTGCACGTGTGGAAGTGTGCCACCCGCTGCCACGCGCTCAAACAAATAGGGCAGATTCCAGTTGATGCTCCCCACACCAGTACAGGCTTAAAGGTCATATATTACACAAAACTACATCTTGTGAGCTTTAAGCCATGTAATAATGTTGTTACCTCATCAAAAACATACCCGGAGTTGTGTTTTGTTTCATTCACACATTTGAGTAATCCTGCATTATTAGTCTACATCTTCAAAGCCCACCTTGTGATGTCATGTAGAGGTACTTTTCAAGTGCTAACTTTTACCTTTTGTTCAGAAGAGATTGGCAATTCCAGGTCTGAAATTATCAACATGATTGTGTGTAAAATCCGTCCAGGTAGAATCCATGACAAAAGGAGAAATTCAGTTTGTCAACTGGACAAAAGTTTATTTAGTCGAAAACGTTTTTGCAGCTGTTCAGAAACGTATTAGACCAAATAAACTTTTCTCCAGTTGATAAACTGAATTTCTCCTTTTGCTATCAACATAATTCATGTGAAGTTGTATGGAGTTTAAAACACAGTGGAGCACTTCCTGTATTACAACATGATAGGGTTGTAACAATAACCAAAATATTGTGATATCGTATTGCCAAAGTTCTCACAATAATATCGTGGACCATCAAAATATATCGAATTACAAGTCTCTTTGCTTAAATTAAGAGTTATGGTGCAGCATAAAAAAAAAAAGACAAAGGGAACTACATAGACCATGATCCTTTGCTCCATTTCAATGTAGACTATAAGACATAATAACAGTTCTAAACACCTTTAAGGATTAAGTCTTGTCAAGGAATTTTAAGGGGAAAATGTGACATATTCAGTTTTGGTTGCCTCCACAAAATATCACATTAAATATGGTGCCGTGAGATGTATATAGTGAAAATATCGTATTGTACTGTGAGACTTGGATATCGTTACACCCCTACAACATGACCTCACAAGGTAGAACAGAGTGTTTTGAGAGAACTCTAACCCGGGTCTGTGCGTTAAACATGTGTGAATGAAACAAAACACAACTGAAAGTATGTTTGCAAGGAGGTAACATTATAACAGATCAGAAAATACTGTAATATAACTTTAATATCACTGTATCCTGGCACAACATTGCACATCTGTTGCTACGGAGGAGAGAGAGTCTTTAGTCAGAACAAACCGTACCATTGGCTTTGTCCACGAATGCCCCCTGTGGAGAGTCTGGCACGCCCCTCCACACCGATATGGATTTGGGATACCCGGGGTCCATGGTACTTATCTCTTCATTGTAGCGCCAATACCTAAATGTAAACAAATGATCAACAACTGGAAAACAATAAAAACAAAGCAGGTGCTGACGAGAGATGATTGAATCCGCAGCAGATGGCAGTTTGTAATATGGCTTCCTGGAGTATATGCGGCGATTATACACTGTAAATATGCTCAACGCCAGTGGATTCATTATAGGAGGAAATCAGACCTAACAAACGGAGCTGCTATAGATAATGCATAAACAATAGCTCATGAGGATACGCTGGTTGGCAGGCAACAGGGTTATGTGGGCACAGAAGGATCACTTTAGTTCACCAGACTGTATCCGTACGCAATTTACAGACGCAGACAGCGATTCTCAATATGGGTTTTTAATGTTTATACGTAAAACGAAACAATTTCAGCTATTTGAGATAAGGTTCATTTATATTATAGCGTATAGTTGTGGAATTTACTTTTAATTAAATACAGCTGTAATTAACTTCTTTTAAAACATGGTTTGTTTATAGTTTACTAAGTCAAATAGTTTATTGTAGGTTTTGTCTATACACAGATCTTGATTTGTCTGGAATGTTCCACAGTATTGAATTAAGCAAAGCATTCACCGTGGAGACAGGCAGGTGACTCCAACAGAACTAAGTTACAAATCAGCTCTGTGCAAAGGCAACACCGCTCACAGCAACAATGCATGTTTTTGTTAGTATAATGTTTAATGCCATACTAAAGAACACGCCAGGCAAAGCATCTACATCTCCGTGGAGTCAATCAGGCAGCAGCAGAAAAGTTACACAGTGCCCCTTTAATGTCAAACCATGTTGTTTCCTTAATGGCTCAGAATATTAATTTGGTGTACTTTAATTAGCAGGTGTACTTTCATTTACTTACTCAGTGCATCTATATTTGCTAAAATAATAACTTACAAAATATATAGTGGTATTATTTGTACAATCTAAACCAATCAAAGTCCTGACCTGTCCCCTTTGAAGAAGTAAGTCTTGGCCACGTCCTCCCACCACACGGCCGCCTCGATGCTCTGAGCGGGCATTCCATGTCCGAAGAGACGAGAAATGTCCTTCGGGTACCCAGCCTGGAGCACTGTGTCCTTGAAAACCCAGTACTGCTTCCCTGCACACACAAAATCAGTGCAAAGATTAGGACAAGAGGCACAAGTAACTGCAATTTTCTACACAATAAAACATTACAGCAATACCACAAAACAGCAACCCATGACCTGCTTACAGACATGTGCTACTTTTCAACTGGGAACATTTTGTCAAATACATGAACGTAAAAAATCTGTTGTGTAGTTGTGATTTTTTTCAATTTATCCTTTGTAAAGAATGTCTTATTTGTTAGTAAACTAGGATATATACATTTTATTTTTAGGTCCAATATTACAAAATAGATTCATTAGAGCTTTTAGTCATGTTGTTACCTCCTCAAAAACATACCTGGAGTTGTGTTTTGTTTCATTCACACATTTGAATAATCCTTTATTATTAGTCTGTCTGCATTTCCAAAGATCAAAATACTACAATTGTGATGTCATAGTTAACGGCTATCTTTCACCTTTTATTCAATAAAGATCGGCAATTCCAGGGCTGAAATTATGCACATGATTCTAGTGAAGGTGTATGGAGTTTAAAAACACAGTGGAGCACTTCCTGTATTACCACATGACATCACAAGTTGGAACAGAGTGTTTAAGAGAAGAACTCAGCCTAAAAAAAGCAGCGTTTGTGTGTTAAACGTGTGAATGAAATGAAAAACACAACTGCGGATATGTTTTGGATGAGGAAACATTATAACATGCAGTAGATAAGAAAATAGCGTAATAAGGACCCTTTAAAACAGTTATCAAATATTGTGCAGACATAATTTGTAATACATTTTCGCGTACTCCTTTTCACCTCTTACTTAATTCGTTCTTGTTTTGATCAGTTCAAACTTGTCATACAGGGACACCTTGTGCTTGCAGTGCTTGGAGCTATTCAGGCATCTTTTGAGTCTTGTAAAGGTGAACCAGAGACTGCACAGTGGTGATAAACCCAAAATGCAATGGCCCTCGTGGAGAAATTGGCAACGTGAACACTGAAACCTTTTTATAAAACTTTCTACGCCGCTGGGATCCACTCACACCTCAAAACAAGAATACATTTAGTGCTTTTGCCAATGACCGTTTTACAAAGTTTAAAAGCTGTGACTTCTTTTTCTCATTAAAACGCCTTCACTCCCTTTTCCTGTGCGGTAATAGACTTAAACACTGGCACGTTTTGACATGGCGTGACCCCAGGAAATGGTCTTACCCTCTCTGGTGGAGGAGGAGGAGGACGGGGCCAGAGGAAGTGAAGGGGGGAGAGAGAGAGGGGGGATGTATGGTGCAGAGGTACACACAAATCACTATTCTCCATTGTGTTGATTTGACAATATTGCTAACATCACAATTTTATCAGAATGGGGTTAGATTTGGGTGGGATTTTTCAAAACGTGATTTCCTTTTTACATCTGGAGCACTATCTGAATCCAACGGGTTTTTAAAGATCATACATTATGCAAAATTGACACGTATGAGCTTCAAGTCATGGTTGCTGTTACATCCACAAAAACATGAATGGAGTAGTGTTTTGTTTCATGCTCACATGAAAATAAATCCTTTATTTTTAGTCTCTTTACATCTCCAAAGCTCACAATGCTTTGTTACAGCTTGTGATGTCATGAAGCGGCTACCTTTAACATTTTGTTCAGTAGATATGGTCATTTCCAGCAGTTAAATTATCTAAATGATTCTAGTGAAGGTGTAGGGAGTTTAAAAACATAGTGGAGCACCTGTAATACTAGATGACATCACAAGGTGGAACAGAGAGAAAAACTGGATATGCAGGGTCAGTGAGTTAAACATGTGTGAATGAAACAAAACACAACTCCAGGTGTGTTTGTGAAGAAACAACATTATGACATGGATCAGAAAATAGAGTCTTATGAGCCCTTTAATATAAGACAGTAATAGGATGACCATGATATAAAAGTAAAAATATAGAGATATATATTTTTTGAAAACTTTTACTGGATTGCAAAAACTCTATGCATAAGCAAACAACCAGAGATTGAAAGGATGTATTGTGATTGTGATTAGATTTGAAATATATGTTTAAAAAGAAGGATTCAGTTGAGGGTACACTTTGTACAAGTCAAGAGCAATAACATTTCAGAGACGGCTGAAATAGGAACTGACATCGCCTGAATTTCAGAACATTTGGGTGTTTGTAGATTTGTAGAGGTTTAAACTACAGGAACACGATGTTTCTACAAAAATGTTTGGATTTTGTTATATAAATAATTACAGTTTTTGTGATTTGATAATTGTGCCAACTCAAACTGCAATTGATACTTAAAACTGACGCCATTAACATTCCCTGAGGATGTGATGCTAACTGAAAGCACTGCTCTAAGGCAAAGGAGAAATTCAATATGTCAACTGGACAGCTGTTTATTTTGGTTGTAAACATTTCGCAGCTCCTCCAAATTACTTCTTCAGTTCTGATCAGAATGCTGATACGCTAACTACAATGAAACTACTCTGAAACTAAGCATTCTGACCAGAACTGAAGAAGAAGCTTGGATGAGGTGCGGAACGTTTTCAACCAAAATAAACGTTTGTCCAGTTAACATACAGAATTTCTCTTTTGCCATGGATTCTAAATCTGTGTATCATGCATTCATTTGTTTTTCAAAATAAAACCAAAAAGAAGAAAATGAACTATTGAACAACTATTTTCTTCATTATTTTTCTCCAAAACCAAAATAAAAAAAAAAATAAAATGATGATTTCAGTTTTCAATTTTGTGTTTAAATGAATAATGAAAGAACTGGATAACACTTACTCGTTTCCGTGACTTAACGTGCGATGCCAGACTGAACCAGGGCTGAGTGTCAGGATGGACCCAGAGGTGTGCCCGCATAGAATGTCAGGTGATCAGAACTGAGACCGGGACCAGACCGGGACTGAGACCAGGACTGAGACCGGTTTAGTCCTGGTTCAGTCCATCGCATTTAAAGTCATGAAACAGGAAACCGTTTTTTTCCATTATTCATTTAAACACCAAATCAAAAACTTAAAAAACAAAACAAAAACAAATCTTTATCTCTTTTTTCCATTTTGGTTTTGGAGACAAATAATGAAGAAAATAGTTGTTTTACTTTGAAAAACGAATGAAAGAATGATACACGGATTATTCTACCTGGACGACTGAGGGTTTCTACACACAGCACTGCTCTAACTGAGGCTTGTTAGACTTTAATCTGAGCTTTATTTTAACACAATCTGACTAGAAAGTGCTGGTTTAGTTGGAACCACAACAAGAGAGCTGATTTGTGCTGTTAAACAAGTCCCTCTCACATAAAATTACACTCACAAACAAGTTAGATTTGGCCAACAGTTTTGCAGTCAGTCACTCCCTCCTTTTTGTTGAAAATCAAACTCCTAAACAGGACCGTGAATGTTGGTATATTGATCACAGGCTCCTCCTCTGATCAATATAGGCTCCCATTTAAACCCATTTTGTATTTTTTCTTGAGTTTACAGACTATCTTACAACTTTTTGGCTGTGTTTGCTAATATGCATTGTGTCACCATGGTAACTGCAGTATTTCTACACCATAAAAATACAGTCTAGTGCAGTCTAGTGTATTTTGATTCAGAGCCAATCTCTACAAAGGTCATTCATGTGATTTCCTTAAAAATCCTGGCACTGAGCAGGTTTGGGAAGTGAAGGGAGGGAGGGGTCTTATCCTTATATATGTAAAAAAAAAAAAAAAAGAAAAAAAACACAAAAACGTAGAGCTGGGTGTGTGCAAATCTTAGCAGAACCAATGACCTGTACTGGTCTAAACTTTGAGAACGGAAATCCATATCACTGCCCCTCTCTCTCTCTCATGATGACCTCCTGACCCCGGCCACGCCCGCCATTCAAGACAACTTTGAGTTCATTTCCTAGTTTCCTTTCCACATTAAAAAATAAATTCCCTTTTTAATTCATTTCTTCCATTGCAGCCTCCTCCTCTAGCCCTCCACATGAAAGCTTCGTTCATCTTCAGAGCCCTGGCCCTCTTTGAAGTCACGACCGCTTCTTCAGACTGTAACATAGGATCAAGATTTGAAATATACACTTGTGAGGAGTTTATACGGGCCACACAGAGGCAGTGTACAGCCAAATAGAAAACATGTGTGCGTTGTATCTGATGGTTTTATAGTTGTCTCAGGGTCGTTTCTTCACACCATAAATCATAGGCCAAATGTGTAGGTCATTAATCTTAATCACATCTAAATTACCTTCAAAGTTTTGCAGTCTGGTTTATTATACGAGTACAGACAGTTCAACTACATCTGGCCAGCTTCATGCTAACTGATCTGCTTTTTTGCTTACTGGAAAAACATTTACAGTGATTTTGCACTATATTCTGATAGTAAAAACCACATTGTATTCAAGTATTCGATTCTACAGCCACTACATAGCTACAATCAGTGTCAGTAAAAAAGTGTCATCGGAATATGCTAGTTTTTCATGTTGGAATGTTGTTACCTCCTCAAAAACATACATGGAGTTGCATTTTGCTTCATTCACACATGTTTGAGTAACTCTTTATCATTCATCTGTCTACATCTCCAAAGCTCAAGATGCTCTGTTCCAACTTCTGATGTCATGAAGTGGTAGTTTTCAAGTTAGCAGCTACTTTTTAGCTTTTGTTCAGTAAAGACTGAAAATCCCAGGGCTGAGATCATCCAAATGATTGTAGTGAAGCTGTATGAATTTTAAAAACACAGTGGAGTATTGCCAGGACATCACAAGGAGTGTTTTCTGTTTTGAGTTCTTCTCTCAAAGCCTAAATGTACAGCGTTTGTGTGTTACAGCATGTGTGAATGAAAGAAAACACAACTCCGGGTATGTTTTAATGAGGATGGGGGGCTAGAGCCTGGCCTAATTCATCAGCCGGTTTCAATTCGTGGAAACTGTCTGACCTTGCAGCGTCAGGTTCGTTCCCTCAACAGTGGGCGGGTACTTTTTTTCAAATTTAACCAATTGCTTCTATTTGGCTGTGATGTATGTAATGTGCTGCTAACGGGGCCA